TAAAACAAACATTGAATTGGTACATAACAAGTGTATGACATGTGTATGATATTGTCATTAACTTGACTGACCTTATTTAACTTTCATTTTTTTTAATTTATTTCACTCTAATTTTTAATTTGAATTAGACTTGGTTTATACTTTTAGGTATAAAGTTAAAAACAATTCATTTGTGTGCCATGATTATTAAAATACAAATATTAACAACAATTTCTATGGGTAAACAAATTTTAAATTCTAAAATATCTCACAAAACATATACAAAATAATCCTACAATATAAAATAATTTATTATTTTATGTTCTTTGTAAAATTAAAACATCAAATAAAGTATGTGTTGATTAAAATACTAATACTAACCGGAACTTTATGGGAAAACAAATTCTTAATTTCTAAAATAAATCTCACACAACATATGCAAAACAAATCCTCAAAACATGAACTATTATTTTTATATATTTTATAAATACTAAAGCATCAATTAAAACTCGTGCAACATATATGCCCATATCTAGTACAATATAAAGTAAACTAAATATAGTATAGTACCAAGTTTCTCTTTCTCTTCCAAACGCTTTAGCCTCTCTCTAAGGTTCACCAAAACTAAAATTGTGTTCAGTGGCCGGTGTGCACTTTCGCCGCCGGTCACCACCCCTTTTGTTTTCTTTTTGTTTTTTTGTTGTAATATAAAGATCCATGCTTCGGATTAGCCGATTTTCCCTTCCGTTGCGGATCTATTACTTTCGCCAAGGCGATGTTTTTTTTTGTTCTGTTTTTTTTTGTGTTTTCTTTGTTCTTCATTGAGAATGATGAAGACGTTGTTTTGTGAAAGCATGCTGAAGGAAAGTTTAGAAACAAATTTTCTACAAGTAAAACTTGGAATCAGATTCGAGAGGTGAAATCAGTCTGCACTTGGCACAAAGGAGTCTGGTTTTCACAATCTATGCCTAAATATGCTTTCACTATGTGGGTAGCAATAAACGGGAAATTACAGACATCTGACATAATGCAGAAAAGGAATAGTTCAATCAACACAACATGTGTTCTCTGCAACGAAGCTCCGAAATATTGTATCCATCTATTTTTTGGATGTCGTTTCTCTGGTACGGTTTGGAGGAGACTGGCAGAGGGGTTGATGGAAGATGCTTTTACTCTGATTTGGAGTGAGCTGATAAGTATAGTCTCGAAGTCTTGGATAACTCCTATAAAGACTTTCATATTGAGATATTTCCTGCAAGAAACTATCCACACAATCTGGTGGGAGAGAAATGCTCGTCGTCATGACGAAAAGCCGAGAGATATTGATTGTTTGGTTAAGTTTGTAGACATGAATATGAGACCGAAACTTCTTTCTCTGAAGGGAAGGGGGGGATTATTTTGAAGAAGGTCTTATTACTTGGTTTGGGGTTCATCCTAATCCTTGAGAAAGAGTGGAGCGATGCTTGGTATTTGTGAGGCTGTTGGTTGAGAATGATTGGTATCTTCCTTGAGAGGCTGCTTGGTTGAGATTGATTGGTATTCTTCGGTTGTGTAATTTTGTATTTTCTTAGTTCTTGGTTTGATCCATATATTCCCCTGAACATGTGATTTTCACTCTTTTTCCTCATTATAGTTTTGTCCCAAATGGGTTTTCTATAATGAGGTTTTAATGAGGAAAATTACATGATCATCCCAAGCTTAACTTGTTTCTCATGGTTAGTTTGAAGGGGAGTATTGGGACAAGTTCTTCTTAGTTGTTTTAGTTGGTTTGGAGTTTGAGTTTTGTAGCTGTACTCAAAACACTGATGCACTTGTTGTAGTGATGTTTTTGTTTGAATAAAATTTTATATTTGTTCAAAAAAAAAAGAATTTGGCGCTTATAGCGGTCCAACGAATGATTATTTCTTCAAGCAGATTAAAGCTACCTTGGTCCTAAATCAACCGCGAAAGAGAGAAATTCTAAGTTTAGGAGGTCAGGATTGAGGTGGAAGGTATCTTAAGTTCGGGAAGATCAATGAGGTACCAAAACAGAGTATGGATCGTTGCAAAAGATCACCAAGGAGGAGGAGTATTCTAAACGGCGGAGGAGTGGCGGAATGGTACCGGCGATCTCAAGCTATGCATGAAAGCCGCGTGTCGAATACGCATCACTAAGATGCCAAAAGGTTAACACATGTCCTAGCTTAAGTTTAAAGCAGTCGGTTTATACTGATGGACTTAAAATTGTAAAATTATAATTTTTTTTCTGAACCTTGTTGTTTAAAACCCGACTTATGTAAACATGTCTCTTGGGCTGTTATAATAGAATTTGGTCGACAAAAAAAAAGGTAAACTAAATAGCTGTTTTGATTTATTTACTAAGAACATGATTGTAAATTAACAAAAGGTATTAGTTTTGATTTATGTGCTTACTTTAAAGTATATACTTTTATGTATACAAATTAATTTTAAATAGGTAATTTCTAATATGTTATTTGATCTTGACGATCCGCGAATTACACTTCTCCAAATCGAAGTGATTTTTAATATTGGAAGCACTATATATATATATATATATATTTTCATTCAAATTAAATAATTTAATCTTGAAATTTATTCCTAAAATCTTTTAATGAAATATTATGATTTATCCGAACAAAACTTATGATCTAAATACTTTAGGATTTGGTTATAATCTGAACCAAACCGAGATCCAAACTAGGTGCAAAGATATCTGAACTAGTCTAATATGTTAATAGTTTTTTTTATATATCAAAGTAATTTAGCTATTTTATTGTATTCGAAGGATTGTTGTAGTTTGTTTTATTTTTTATTTTGAGTATCATTTAGTTAGTTTAGCTTTGGCTAAACCGTCTGTCAATGATCTGAAGAGCAAAGTATGGAAGGTAAAGACTACACCTAAGATAAGGATTTTCATGTGGAAAGCGTTGTCTCAGGCTCTTGCGGTGGGGGAGAACTTATTGAAAAAAGAGGTATGAAAGTTGATGCTAGATGTCAAAGGTGTGGATCCGAGGGTGAGACAATTAACCACGCCCTTTTCTCCTGTCCTGCGGCGAGAAGAATCTGGGCGCAGGTGGGTTTCCCTTTCCCTAGAAGAGGTTTCGAGAATAGGAATTTGTTAGAGAACTTCAGTTACTTGTTCGAGGTAGAGAAGAGTAAGGACATCCCTCATGAACTGAGTGGTATTTTTCCCTGGGTATTGTGGGTGCTGTGGAAGAACAGGAACTCCTTTATTTTTGAAGGGAAAACTTATGATGCAGATGATATTGTGTGGAAAATAAAGGAGGATGCTAGACAGTGGTTTTCTGCGCAGATACAGAGTATTGAAGCGGAGAAGACCAGTGGGGGGGGGTAAGAAAGGTGAAAAAGAGATGGAGCGCACCGGATGCGGAGACTCTGAAATGCAATGTTGGTGTAGCGTGGTCTAGCAACAAGAGACAGGCTGGTGCATCATGGGTTGTGAGAAATTGGCGAGGAGATGTCTTGCTGCATAGTAGAAGGTCGTTTGCTCGGGTTTCATCTCTTGTTGAAGCCAAACATTGGGGTTTGTTGTGGGCAATTGAGAGTATGATCTCCATAAAATACACAATGTTTGTTTCGAGGTTGAGGCTCCAGAATTGGTAGGTGCTGTTATGCACTCGGTGGCTTGGCCCTCTTTTAGAGCATATGGAAAGGAATTAAAAAATGCTCTGAGTTACTTGTCAGAATGGAAGATGATCGGAGCGGGAAGGGAGGTAAATGTGCCGGCTTTCAGAATTGCAAGAAGTGTCACAATGGAAAACTGCCTGCAGTCCTATGTAGCTCGGGAGGATCCTATTTGGCTGCGTAGTATTTTCAAGAAGGAAAGGGATGATTTACAGATTGCGTAAAGTCGAAAAGTAACTCTGTAGAAATTTTGTTTCCCGTGGTGAGGGAGGCTATGTGGTGTTTATGGGATGCTCAGATGTTTTAGGCTCTGTGTTCCCTACTGGTGTTTCTAGCAATGGTTTTGCTACGTTCCTTGTTTCGCACGCTGTTGGTAGCGCTGAGTTTGTTTGTTTTTGTTTTTGGTTGTGGCTACTTTGGTTCTCTTTTATATTATATGGAATCTCAAAGTTAAAAAAGAAGAAGATAGTTTAACAAATTTTAAATTAGATTTACGAATTTAAATATTTTGACAATTTTTGTCAATCTTGAAAATTCAAAAATATTTTTTGGGATAATTTCAGATTTTGGTTACAATCCGATCCAAACTGAATCGGGAAGGAATCAAATCAAGTTTATCGTCTTTAAAAATATTTCCATAGCATGTTTGAGGGATGCACCAACATGGTAACAATAATTTATAAAAAATATGCATAATTGGATGTTGCCACGTTTGGTTAGCGATGATTGATATGGATGGATCTAAATCAGAGTAAATATATAAACTATTTCGAGAAATGATAGAATACATAAGTGATTAAGTTGGTAACTGGTAACAGAGTAATAAATAACCGACCCATTAACCCTTCAATACTTTAACATTTTATGGAGCATATGAGATTTAATATTACATTACATTGAAAACTAGTGGGGTAGCACCAACATTTTTAGGTTTAGTTAATGTAAAGAAAAACTGAATCATCTTCTCCACTTCACTAAAAAGTCAAAACCCACCATCTCCAGGTTGTATTCCATTAAACAGAAGTTTCATTTTTTTCTCTTTTTTGTATATTTAAATATCTTTTTGAGATAATTTATACAATCTCTTATCTATATAAATAATCTGTATGAGATTAATATTTCAATGAAGGTTTACCCGCCTTTAGCACCTCCAACAGAAACTGTAAACCAACGAACTTTTATGCTAAATAATCTCAGAAATAAAATCAACAAAAATAGAAGAAAAAAAAAAACGGACCACGATCTTTTGTTTCTCTGACTTGTCGTCTCCTTCGTCTCAACATCCGTTGACGACAACCCTCCAAAGACATAATGTGGGTTTAATCTTTATCTCCATAGAGAATCTACGTAAAAAAAGAAGGAAGATTTTTCATCAAATGGAGAACATAGCCGTGCAGCTAAAACGCGGGATATCAAGACAATTCTCAACCGGTTCAATCCGTAGAACGTTGAGCCGACAGTTCACGCGTCAGTCTTCCCTCGACCCCTGTCGGACCAACATGAGGTTCAGCTTCGGTCGTCAGTCTTCCCTCGATCCAATCCGGAGGAGTCTTGACTCCAGGAGCGGCGACGAGGTGCACATGTCGGTGCCTGAGAATCTTGGTTCCACGATGCAGCTTCTCTTTATGGCTAGCAAAGGTGACGTTGGAGGAGTTGAGGAGCTTCTTGATGAAGGGATTGATGTCAATAGCATCGATCTTGATGGTCGTACGGCGCTTCATATTGCAGCTTGCGAGGGGCATTTAGGGGTTGTTAAGGCTCTTGTTAGCCGTAGAGCTAACATTGATGCTCGTGATCGGTGGGGCAGTACGGTCTGTCCTCTTCTTCTTCCATTGACCTATGACTTTGTTTTTTCTTTTGAAATTTGCGATTTGGATTAGTTAAAGGAGATGTTTTTATCTTTATTAGGCGGCTGCTGATGCAAAGTATTATGGGAATTTAGATGTTTACAATCTCTTGAAGGCTCGAGGAGCTAAAGCTCCGGTAAGTTCCTCTGTTTCTTGAGTTCCTCTGTGGTTAGTTCCTCTGTTTCTTGAAACTGGAGAGATTTGGTGTTTTTTTTCTCTGTTCATGTGTTGTTTTATAAAACTTGTTTTTCATTATCTTCACACTGTGTAGAAAACCAGGAAGACGCCAATGACTGTGGCGAATCCACGAGAAGTCCCTGAATATGAGCTTAATCCACTTGAGGTTCAAGTCCGTAAATCTGATGGAATCTCAAAGGCATGTTCTGTTCTTATGTTGAAAGTATCATTGTCTTGGAGCATAGTTGATTTAATGAAATAGAGTTGTGTGTTGACTGTTTGCAGGGAGCTTATCAAGTAGCTAAATGGAATGGGACGAGGGTTTCAGTAAAAATACTTGACAAAGATAGCTATGCAGACCCGGAACTAGTGTACCCATTCTTCTTCAATCTTTATCTGAATGATCTTTACATAGACACTAAAACAAAGTTCATATCTTTCTTTAACCCTGTTTCCTAAGAGGCAGTTCAGTTTAAGAGATGCTGCTTTGTCTATCTGGTTTTGTGTCTGAACAGAAACGCATTCAAACATGAACTGACGTTGCTAGAAAAAGTCAGGCATCCAAATGTTGTTCAATTTGTTGGAGCCGTTACTCAAAATATACCGATGATGATTGTAGTAGAGGATACTCCAAAAGTAAGCATGCTTATACTTCTCTTCTTCCTCATGATTTTTACCTTATTTCATCAACCATATCAGTGTCTTTTCCTTTGGTCTTGTTGCAGGGAGACTTAGGTGTGTACCTGAAAAAGAAAGGACGTCTTTCTCCTTCCAAGGCACTTAGATTTGCTCTTGATATTGCCAGGTATGTCAGCTTCTCATGTATTGCTGCTAAGGCTGTTGTAATTACTAAGACCTCACTGGATGTTTTTTGTTTTGTTTTGTTTTCATGGTGTGTCTGGTGTCTCAGGGGCATTAATTACCTCCATGAGTGTAAGCCAGATCCCATCATTCACTGTGATCTAAAGCCAAAGTAAGATAACCAAAAGAAAATGTACCTTACCCTTTGGTTTATATTCACTGAGATGTTTCTGTTCGTTTAACATTTTGACAATTTTGGTAAGGTGCCAGAAATATTTTGCTGGATAGAGGAGGGCACTTAAAGATCTCAGGATTCGGTTTGATCAGATTGTCAACAATCTCTCCAGACAATGCCAAAGTAGAAAACCACAAAGCACATATAGATCTCTCGAGTAAGGAGAATCCTTCATTCATATGCTGTAACATGTTTTTCTTTTGGAAAATGTATGGTCATGAACAAAATGATTTCTGGATTTCAGATTACTACATAGCACCAGAGGTTTATAAAGACGAAATATTTGACAGAAGGGTGGATGTACACTCATTTGGTATCATTTTATATGAGGTAACATATCTTACTCTTGCTCGTCTTTTTCTTTTTTCTTGTGTCTTGTGTCTTGTGTCTGGTATTTCTTTAATATGTGTATGTGTGGTCAGATGACTGAGGGAATACCAATTTTTCACCCGAGACCACCTGAAGAAGTTGCAAAAATGATATGCTTAGAAGAAAAGAGACCTGTATTCAAGACTAAGTCAAGAGGTTACCCTCCAGATATGAAAGAGTAAGCTCTAATAACAATTTTGTACATAAAAATATTTATGCAAAATCTTAAGTATCTGTTGTATTGCTTAATCTGCAGTTTGATTGAGGAGTGTTGGCATCCAGAAGCTGGTATTAGACCGACATTCGCTGAGATTATTATTCGGCTTGACAAAATAGTAGCTAGTTGCTCTAAGCAAGGATGGTGGAAAGATACGTTCAAGTTACCTTGGTAAGATTTCATATGCAGATAGAATCTAAAGTGAAATAAAAACAATGGTGAAAAAGTCTACCTATTAATGAGGTTTTCTTGCAGGAAGTAAAAAGGAAACATGTAACCAACTCTGTAGCCAGAGAAGAAGAAGAACTTATGTGTGTACTTTGTAGCTATGTTTTCTCATTAGCTATCTTTTTGCTCACTAGCTATGTATCTCATTCATACATAGCATAGTCCAAGCAAACCCACTTCCATGTGTGTGTAGAACATGAAGTCCTTTTTGTTTCATTGTTTTCACTCGTTTTGTGATTAAAGCCATAAGTTTGTATCCTCATCTTCTCTGCAATATTAATAGTTCTTTTTGATCTTTCTTGGGGAACAATACACTGGAATCAAAATTGCAATAATCTACAAAGCAGAAAGATGACAATGGATATCATATTGTAGAGGTATTAAAGGTGAGCAATGAAGGCAAATTACAAATACGTAGAGGAAAAATAGCACCAGAAGACTAAAAAGTTAAAAGTTTGAGTCGTGTTGATCACATCCCATTCAAGCATTCTCTCATAAGTATAACAATAGACAGAAAAAACAATGTTTTTGTCCTCTATTTAAGAATCTTGTCCAAATCAAACGCCTGACGGTAGATAAGCTCCTTCATCTTCCAGATGCTATTGCTGATACTCTGGATTGAAAGCAAGCGCCTCACGGTAGATAAGCTCCTTCATCTGCTCCTCTGAGAGCGCATGCTGCTCAAAATCGAAGTTGAAAGGTATGGTGCACTCTGGCTCATCGCTAATGTCGTGTAATGAGTTCAGGTATGGATGTTCCAGAGCGTCTAGAACTGAACCAAGATTTATGAACATGTGAGGACTAACTTATCCAAGAATCAATAGGTCCATATCTCATTACTAAAGTGATCTGTTTTTGCAACTGACCAGTTATTCTTCGTCTAGGATCAAATGTTAGCATCTTCTCGATAAGATCTATAGCTAAAGGATGCACCGTGGGGAACTTATCAGTAATGGACTGGCGAGGATACGGTGGAAGTTGTCTTATGTATCGCTTTGCATTTTCGTTCAAGAACTCAACTTCTTCTTCTGAAGGAGTTCCTATGAGCTGCACAAAAGAAAAAGAAAATCATGTCATTATGTGTTCTTTACTAAGAGACTGTGTTGTTTACTTTACCTCCATGAGCAAGCGAAGCTGATGAACATGATCACGGCCAGGGAATAGTGGCTTACGGTCCATTAGCTCCAAGAAAATACAACCAACAGACCAAACATCTATCGCTGCAGTATAATCAGAAGAGTTTAAGAGCAGCTCTGGTGCACGGTACCATCTTGTGACAACGTACTCAGTCATGAAGTCGCTCTCGGAATTGACTCTAGCTAACCCGAAATCACATATCTTCAAGTCGCAGTTTGCGTTTAGGAGGAGATTGCTCGGTTTCAAATCACGGTGAAGCACATTTGCGGAGTGAATGTATTTCAAACCACGGAGAATCTGGTAAAGAAAGTACTGCACACAACAAAAAAAGGAATGAGTTATTTGAGGTTTCAGTATATCATGAACTGCAGAAACACCAAACCTGACAATGTTCTTCGGATAATGCTTGATTTGACCGTATGATTTGGTGGAGATCAGTGTCCATTAGCTCATAAGCGATGTAAACATCATTGAAAGCAGTTCTGAGAGGTGGAGGTATAATGTCTCTGATTGCAACAATCTGATAAACAATGATGGTAACTGTTATCTATCAGTTGGAAATGATCTACACACTTTTTTTGTACGTTCGGTTTCTATAAAACAAGATCTTCTGACGTAAATGGAAAGTACCATACTACTAAATAAGAACTAAACCATCCGCATCAAACCGAGAAAAATGCACACATAAACTGTCAACAGCTATGTATATTAACTACTTTTTAAAAAGCTAAAGTAGAATGTTGTGTATCTGCTATACAATCAATCACAAACCTAACCAGCTGCTAGACATTCAATCACAAACTTAGCCACCAGTTGCTATTCACAAACATAGCCACCAGATGCTACACATTAATTCACAAACCTAACCACCACAAACAGGCAACTATTCATCTAAAGAATAGTGCATTAACTAATCATATAAGCATATGATTCTTTGATATGAAAGAAAGAGGAAAAAAAAACTGACATTTTCATGATCCATGTGGCGAAGCAGCTTGATCTCACGGAGAGTCCTCTTAGCATCAATCTTATTGTCGAAAGCATTTGCGATTTTCTTAATAGCAACGCTTTCATTTGTTTCAGAGTTCATAGCAGAGCTGCCACAATCAAAGGATCAAGCTTTATATTAACAAAAACATCAATTAATCATTTTCGGATCAAACCCAATCAACAAAAATCATTTTTTCTTTTAAAATAAAAGTTGAAATATAAAAATCTGAAATTTATTACCAAACGATGCCGTAAGCACCCTTGCCAATAGGCATGATCGGAGGCTTATACTTGGCAGTGACTTCAAAGATGTTTCCGAATATATTATACTGTATAAACCTCCCTCCGTGGCTAAGAGTCGCCGGAATATTCTCTATCCCCGCCATCTGAGGAGAAGGCTGAGACGGAGCTTCTGTCATCTCGGTATCAGCCGGTGGTTGACCCGTGCCACCGTCCATGAACGCCGGTGAGGAAGAGATTAATGAATGAAGGGGAAAGTTATAGTCTTTTGTTTTGGGTCAAGACAGATCTGAAAGACAGACAGTTATGTCCGTGTGGAAGCAAGCGCATCGGTCTCTTGAACCGTGTGTAACCGAAAAACATTGTATTGTTGAATCATTTGCTTATGTTAATGTTGTTAGCATATGTTAAAACAAAGATGAAAATGTATTATTAACTTGTTTTTGTAAATTACTCGATTTGATAATCTTGTCATTACCAACAGTGTTTTGGATGTACATGTTGGCCTTCTTTTGTGGAAAAAAAAAATGGCACAAATTAACCATAAATCATTGATATTATTTGCTGTTTTGGCTGTACTACTATTGCAATGAGCTTCATAACATGAAACATATTTGATTCTCTTATTTTGTGTAAACAAGTTGTTAATGACGTGTAAGGATTAAAATTCACGTTAGGTGATGGGGGTATTCTGATCGAATGAATACTATGGGGATCATTATAACATTACTCCAAAAATATAAGGCTCTTTTTGATACTTTACAAAGTATAATAATCAAGCGACTTGGTGACTGTTTATTTGTCTGAATCCATCATCTCCTTCTTACTCTCTGACTCTCTGGGTTTAGGGTTCCGGTAAATGTCAACGACACCGAGCTTTGTTTACGTCTCTCTCACCATTATTTGACTTCAGTACGTACTATACCTTTAACAACGAGCAGTGTATGTCTTCTCTGTTAAGCAATTTGAAGTATGTTAGGCATGTGTGTTTCGAGTTTAGGAATCTAGATGTTAGCTACGAGATTTGCTCTTAGTGTTTGCCTTACTTAGCAAGACACAAGTCAAATCAAAGACCTATTGCAAGTCTGTTACTTTCTTTTGTGTATGCAGTTTGAAACATTTTGGTGCTTTATGTTGAGAGATGAAACTTTAAACTTATCTGTAAAAATAAAAGCTTTACAGTGGTATCTAATACGTTTCCTTGTTCTAGCTTGAATCAAAGAGGTTAAAAATGGAGATCATGCCAAGAGAGAATGAGAACGCTTTCTAAGGTCCCAGGCCTATGGAGTTGACTACTCTTCCACACGGTGCTCTCCAAGGACCTGGCAAGCAACGAACTTCTAGCTTGGAAGCACCTATTATGTTGCTTACTGGACATCCAAGTGCTGTCTACACCATGAAGTTCAATCCATCTGGAACTCTAATTGCATCTGGACCACACGATAGAGAGATCTTCCTATGGAGAGTTCACGGCGACTGCAAAAACTTCATGGTTTTGAAAGGTCACAAGAACGCTATCCTTGATCTTCATTGGACCAGTGATGGCTCCCAGATTGTATCAGCTAATCCGGATAAAACTGTAAGAGCATGGGATGTTGAAACTGGGAACCAAGTCAAGAAGATGGCTGAACACTCGTCGTTTGTGAATTCTTGCTGTCCTACACCTAGAGAACTACCACTTATCATCAGTGGATCTGATGATGGAACTGCTAAGCTTTGGGACATGCGTCAGAGAGGAGCCATACAAACATTCCCAGATAAATACCAAATCACAGCCGTTTGTTTCTCTGATGCAGCTGATAAGGTGAAGCCACCATGACACTCGAGGGCCATCAAGATACCATCACAGGAATGAGTTTAAGTCCAGACGGTTCCTACCTTCTCACCAGTGGGATGGACAACAAGCTATGTGTGTGGGACATGCGTCCTTACGCTCCAAAGAACCGGTGTGTGAAGATCTTTGAAGGGCATCAACACAACTTTGAGAAGAACTTACAGAAATGTTCATGGTCACCTGATGGTACTAAAGTCACTGCTGGTAGTGCAGACCGTATGGTTCATATATGGGACACAACTACTCGGCGCATTCTCTATAAGCTCCTAGGCCACAAAGGCTCTGTAAATGATTGTGTTTTCACCCATCTGAGTCTATCATTGGATCTTGCAGTAGCGATAAAGATATCTACTTGGAAGAGATATGAAAGTTTTAAAGCTGTAAGACCTTTGCAACTAAATTGGAATTGAAGTCTATAGATTCAACAATGTGTTTTAAGACATTCTGTTTATTGAGAGAAAACAAAACAAACTTCACTCTTTGTTACAAGTAATCAATGAGAAGGATTGTTATCTCCTGCTATATCTCTTTGCTCTTCATCTTCATGTACTCTAACTTTACTTCCACAGCAACTTCTTTTATGTTCTCCAACGACATGTTTCTTCACCAAACTCTCTGCCTTCTCCAGTCTCTTCTCAGCAAGCTCCAACCTCTTCTCCAGAAACTCAGAGTTCTCCTTCCAAACCTCTCCATTAGTGTACACCTCCTTCTTCCATATCGGAACAGAAGCCTTCAGCTCGTCTATCAAGAACTTGCAAGCATCTAAACCATCTCCACGGTGAACAGACGAGACAGCGATGAACACGCTGGTTTCACCAACAGGAACTGGTCCCAAACGGTGTGCAACAGCAATCTTATGGATGTCCCAGTTTGATCTAGCGTCTGCACATATATAGCTGAGGTATCTTGTGGCCATTGGTACATACGCTTCATACCTTAGCTCCAAAACTGTTTTCCCCTCGAATGTGTCTCTTGTAGTGCCTGAGAATGTTGCTATGGCACCGGCTTGAGGAGCACTCACGTAATCAATGTACTTAGCTATATCGACTTTGTGACCTTCCTCCAAAATTTCTATAAGGTTATTCTCCTCCACAGACATCTTTAGTTCTTCTTTTACTCCAGACACTCAAAACAAGGGAACTCTAACCTGCAGGTAGAGCAAATCAACAAACAAGTAACCAGACAATTAGTCAAAGATCTAATGAGACAAAACAATCACAGAACACAGAGAGATAACTACAAACAAGGAATCGTCTCTTTCAGTATCTTTATACAGTGAAAGTTTAATACTTTTCTATCTTATCGAAAAGTTTGTGATAACTTTTAACAGCTACACAAACAACAAAACGATCGCAAAGAACTAAACATCGCAAAGATTAGAACTTGACCTTTCAGGTTTGGTAGGGTTAGATGAAGAAGAAGAAGAACATGTGCTCCACAATCACCTCTCCTTTGGAGGACTAGTAGGTTGGTGAGAATTAGATTAAGACAAAACATAAACGTTTATCCAAAAGTCTCTTCTTTTCCTCTGTTTTTTAACCATTTAAAGGAAAAGACAAATCCAAGAGCGACGTCGTTTTCGAAGCTACAGTGGAGCGTCTCTTCAAAGGAGAGAGAGAGAGAGAGAGGCATCTCTCTTTACTTATCTTTGTGTGATACAATTTTGGGAAAGTGAGGACGAAAGATCAAAACCATGGCTGCGACATCTTCCTCTGCTTTCCTCCTAAATCCGTTGACTTCTCGCCACCGTCATTTCAACTACTCTTCTTCTCTCTCCTTATCCTCGAGAAAGGCGGCTGCTTTCGATTCTCTCCCTGCTGCTCTCACTCTCAAGAGACAGAGCCAGAGGTGTAACGATGTCGTGTGCAAGGCTGTGTCTGCAAAGGTCGAAGCTGGTGTTGAAGGCCTCAATATCGCCGAGAATGCTGCTCAGGTTAGCTAGATTGGTGATAAAGTTTCTCACTTTGTGGGGTTTAGACAGTAACTAAAATGAGCATAAACTGTGTGACTTTTGACTTCTTTCTCTAATCTTTGTTTTTGCCTCTCAATGCCTATGAATTGATTCAGCTTATTGGGAAAACTCCAATGGTGTACTTGAACAATATAGTCAAGGGCTGTGTTGCAAGTGTTGCTGCTAAGCTTGAGATCATGGAACCATGTTGTAGTGTCAAAGATAGGTTTGTTGCATAACCAATTTGATTTATGGGTTGGTAGGTATCTTCACATATGTTTATTCTGAGCTTTTGTTGTTATGGTGGTTTCAGGATTGGGTATAGTATGATCACTGATGCTGAGGAAAAAGGACTTATAACACCTGGAAAGGTATCTGATCATGTGTTTTAGTCTTTTTAGTGTTAAGATTTCACATAGTTATGTTTTTTTTTTTTTGCTGCAAATTTTGTAGAGTGTTCTTGTTGAATCTACAAGTGGAAACACAGGGATTGGTCTTGCTTTTATTGCTGCTTCAAAAGGATATAAACTTATCTTGACGATGCCTGCGTCCATGAGTTTGGAAAGAAGGGTTCTTTTGAGGGCATTTGGAGCCGAGCTTGTGTTAACTGAACCTGCAAAAGGCATGACTGGAGCAATTCAGAAGGCTGAAGAAATCTTGAAAAACACTCCCGACTCCTACATGCTCCAACAGTTTGACAACCCAGCCAATCCCAAGGTCTGTGGTTACTTTTCCTTTTCCGTATTTGTTTACTATCTAAAATATCGCATGAGTAATGAGCTTGTGTTATCCCTACTTCTCCACCATATGCGGATAATGTGAAAGGGCTAGTTATAGAATATATAGAGCCTCTTCTGCATTTTATTTCGATGAGTATATGGCATTTAGTTTTGAATCACCCTGATAATCTGTAAGATTCTTTGAGCTGCAAGTATTTGTTAGTGTTTCTAATGTAGAGAATATGCAGATTCATTACGAGACTACCGGTCCTGAGATTTGGGAAGATACAAGAGGCAAGGTGGATATATTGGTTGCGGGAATTGGAACTGGTGGAACCATTACTGGTGTTGGTCGTTTCATTAAAGAAAGAAAACCTGAACTGAAGGTACGTTGCGAAGGAGCTTTTGCGGCTTATATGTTGATGTGATAACCTATAAGGTTGGAGATATGTTGCTCTTTAAAGTGGTGAAACTTATGATTAATTTTGTTGATGTTTACATGTACCAGGTTATTGGTGTTGAACCCACGGAAAGTGCCATACTTGCTGGAGGGAAACCAGGTAAGGCATTGGATTTTTCTTCCTTGCATACCTGTAATTTATTTGCCTTGGATTTTGAAATGCAGGACCTCACAAGATTCAAGGGATTGGAGCTGGATTTATTCCTAAGAATTTGGATCAGAGTATTGTAGATGAATACATAGCGGTATGATCTGTCTTCTTTTTTTTTTTTTGATTCTCTAAAACAAGACTTCTGCTATTTTCAGTTTGGTATTTATCCGTTACTGAGCTGTGAAAGAGTAGGATAACACGCTTAGAGGGTCTTGAGATGAAAACTTCACCTGTTTCCTTGCTTTCTCATCAGATTTCCAGTGAAGAAGCTATTGAAACCGCAAAGCAACTAGCTCTACAAGAAGGCTTGCTGGTTAGTCTTTCTTTCTTTCTTTCTTTCTTTTTCCTTCTGTTTGAACTATATAAGAAAATCTTTAATGACTAGTAAACTATTTTCAGGTTGGTATATCTTCTGGAGCGGCGGCTGCTGCTGCAATCCAGGTCGCAAAGAGACCTGAAAATGCCGGGAAACTCATAGCTGTAAGTCCTCGTTGTTTCCTTCTATGCTCTTCATCTTCTTTTCTAGATGGATGTAGGTGAGATACATAGGAATTGATTTGTTAATTTTTCATCAGAAGGATTCCATGTTTAGTATGTCGCATCGCCCTCACCAAACCCTTGTCCTGTATCTGTGACAGACCACGGGATACTTTTAATAAGAGGTCTTGAGTTACAATACAGCAGAACCGTAGCCTATTAAACAGTCTTACTGCATTTAAGCTTTGTTTTCTCAAGTAATGACTTAAGTCCTTTAGATACCTATACTCTGCGTTGGCTTCATCTCTTTACCCCCACTAAACCCTAGTCCCTTCACCAGAAAGAGGAAAAAGAAAGATCATGGAGCTTAGCTATTCCTCAATGCTATATCCCAAAGTGGGGAATCAAGTGAAATCTTTTTTAGCTAGTCTTGAGTAAAACGAGTGAGCAACAGATTTTTGATATGTGATAGATGAATCTCTTTGGTTGCCAGGTTGTGTTTCCTAGCTTTGGAGAACGTTACCTCTCCACAATGCTTTTCCAGTCGATCAGAGAGGAGTGCGAGAAAATGCAGCCTGAGCTTTGAATTTCCTCTTGTAATTTCTTGGCCTACAAGGAACCTCTTCTTTGATTTCTTTCTTGTGTTTCTCCCAGTAGATTTCTCACTGCGTCAAACTGTATACAGTATTTGCATTTTACAATGTGCAACACAATTGGTGTTTATTTGATAAATGCATAAGGCGTAAGTGTCCCTTGATAAAAATCATTAATTTAAAATAAATACACAGTGGACTTGTTCATTACTAACTTTAAAAACAAGAGTGAACAAAATATGAATCAATTGATTTTGGATACCTGTAATTTTTCCGAATAAAATCAAATTGATGTTAGTTGATTCATTTAGAGTCGTTTTGAATTTCATTCATCACGAATAACGCCTGACTGGTTACAAAGCAGCAATTACGGTTGCGGTTGCGGGCGTTTGTGGATGCGAGAGATTGCGGTTTTAAGCGTTAGTAAAAGATTTTATACGATTGGTTCAACGGTTAAAAATTGTTGTGTTTGTGGGATATTTATGACTGGTTTATCATCAAATACAACGGCGATTAAGTAATAAATTAAGAATATTTATATTTTATATAATTATCAAAATATTAAAATAATATTTTCATGATAAATATAAAATTTTATTGAAAAAACTAAACTATTAAATTTTTTAAAAATTAAAGAAAATATTTTTTTGGAAATTTTATAATATAAATATTTTAGTATTTTAATTATTTTAATTTAAAAATTTAATTGAATATTTTATTTTTATATTTATATAGTTTTTTGGAAAAAATACTTTTTATCCTCCCGCAATCGCCCGCAACCGCAAACGCTAGCTGGAACCAGCTTTTGAATTTTAGAGATTCAGAGCGATTTGAAGCGGTTTATAGCGTTTTCTGTGATTGTTACAATACGTCAATAACCGCTACCAACTGCAAAAGCTGCGTTTGCGGGTGATAGCGGGAGAACCAGTCAGACCTTAAAACAAACTATAAAACTGATTCATTTTGAGCAGTTGAGTAGGTTGAAGAAATCAAGAGCCACGATGTTGAATCCTAAATCTGGTAATGGGTATAAAAATATGATAAAAGGTTTCATTTATTAAAGAGTAAGCAAAATGTCAAAGAGTGAATACAAAGAAAAAAAATCGTCATCTGAAGACTAACTCGTTATCAATGATCTTTCTCTCTCTATTCATGCCCGATGCTCCTCTCATTTTTATTCAATGCTCCTCTTATTCATAATCACTTCGATGCACATTTTCCATTCCATAGTTGTTGTATGTTAGAGAGTCGGTTCAGCGATCATCATTACGCTATCGGTTGCGTAGGTCTCTGTCTATAATCAGCAGTCGATACAACCTATGTCCTATAGGATTTTGTCCCTTGTGTGCGCTGGGGGTTCATTTCTTCGATTGGACCGTTCGTGGGCCTTCTTTCCCAACATCTAACTCGTGAATGGGCTGAAGGCCGATCCTCCAACAATACTCCCCTCCTCCCAGAGTCTGGCGTGTGGACATGCGTAAGACATGATTATTACGATTTTGAGCGAGTTGGACAAATATACACGTTTCAAACGTGTGTCATTTTCCGAATGACTCCTTTTCTTTGGGTTAGGTCCGCTACAGTAAATCACCGATTTTCGTCATTTGGAAGTCCTTCAGTCACATCGATATACATTGAAATCTGCTACTCTTCCGCCCAGCTCTCCTTATTGTCTTCTGCTCTTCACTTATTATCCTTGCTGTTTTGATTGTGCTGCCGTTGCTTTTAAAAGGTACACCCTCCCTTTTATTTTTTGTTTCGATGTTTCTAGGGCTTCTGCCTTTTCTGTTTGTTTTTCCTCGAAATCTTGTTGCTTTATTTTCTGTTTTCTCTGATGGATGATAGTCTTGAATCGCTAGTTAGGACCTCAGATACCGGACGTTGAAGAGCTCCTTCGTACTTCGTCGGCCTCTGGTTCTGCTCCTTCGGTGACGATTGCTTCCGTTATAGGGCCTGATGAGAGAGATGATTCTCCAGATCCTTCTCCGTCTCTTACCCCTGGGGGGGGATTCCGACGACGAATCCGATAAGGATGATTCGGTTGACGGCCCTTCTGAGAGCGATCAGGAGGTCGTGGGATCTTCTCGTCTTACTGAAGATGCTTTGAAACACGTGAAAAAGATGTGGTTTTCCTCGGGATATAAAAATGCTAGTTCCACTAAAGGAGGAGAGGCCATGGTCGGCGCCCCTGGGATGGGTGTGCTTGGACAAATTATATTTTTCTTAGTCGAGGTTCTCCCTCTTCCTCGGCTATTGACTTCCTACGCTCAGAATCATGACGTGGTCATTTCTAAAATGTCAACCCGGCTGCCATTTGTAATATGGTAATTGCTTTGTTCTTTGTGCGGAGGTCGGCGTTGACGTTGACGCCGAGTTCTTCGGAATGATGTCCCAGATCAATATGATCACGGAAGAGACGTTCTCTGTCAGTATCAAGGCTCGATGCAGGCTCATGGAAGGTCAGGGTCCGTCTAAAGCCAACGGTTGGCAGCGGAAGTACTTATTCTTACGTATTATTTCCTCTTCCATGTCCGATCCCTCTGCGGTTTTTAGGACTGAGTGGAATCCTCATCCTAGTAGTTTGGTCGTCCTTTGATTTTTGATGTTTTGTTGGGTGATTTACTGATTTGTCGTGTCGTTTTATTACAGTGATTCACGCAAAGCATTGACCTCTTTTTCTGTGGCGAGCGAACGTTTAACTCGGATTCTAAATTCTAGGAAGCCTTGTTGGGGGGG